TATCTAAGAATAGGCATGCAGCATTTAGTTTCCAAGTAACTCTCATCTGCTTTGCATCTGAATCCTGCACACCAATTTGTGGCAACTAAAGACTGGCCCCTGATCATCAGCAATCCCCCACAGGCTCTCAAATTAGCTATTCAAGCATAAGGAGAGATAAATTAGGCAATTAATATTTAGTTTCCCTTCTTAATATAACCCAAAAGATGGCATTTAAGCCTCTTTTTGCAAAATGAAATAAAAAAGACTGAAAAATGTCTAGGTGTTATCTAATCTTGTTAACTTGTTTGATTTGGATCATCTGTAAGCAAGGATGAAAATAAAATATGTACTCTTTATGAGCCATTTTGTTTTTGACAGATAAGGTTTCTGTATGTTTAACAGATAATATTTACTGGTTCACTTATATAACCTTTGTGAGGAATGTTGTTCTAATATTGTTAGAAAGGAAAGCAGAAGCCACAACAGATTAGTGATAAAGTGCTAATTCACCCTTGACAAATGAACGAATAAATGTACCTGGATGGTTGGATAGTGAAATATTCATTCCTTTTCTATGTCTGTTCTATCCCATGTCATCTTCTTTTGTGATTTTGCAAAAAAAACAACAACACTGCATTAACGTGCAGCTTACAAAGTTACAAGATGAACCAAGGGTGGCTTTTAAAGTTATCCAGGCCTTCATTTTTTCCCATGATGAAATAAATATTTCCAATGGCTAGAAACCCTTGTTGCTGCTCCAATCATCATGAGTGTGTTCAAAATGGGATCTCTGGAAGCAATCATCTTTCTCATGCAACTTCCCATGCACCTGATTGCACTTCATTGCTTTATGGGCATCGGCAACCCCAACTTCAATTTATAATGTGGCAGTAGTGGTTTAATGCTATCCATGAAGCGCTTGCAAAACTTCAAAGGGGGACCTCAGACCAAACATTGAAGTTATTCTTCCATAACACTGCAAAAAAACAGGAGTGCAAATATATTTCCGGCAACAAATTGTCCCCCTTTGAAAATGGACCCAAGGAATTCTTCAGCAGTCCTAGTACAGCTAGGCTCCATCTGTCAGCATCATCATAATTTCTAACAAACTTCAGAAGCATTGCCTGTATTTGTTGGCTGCACTTAACTATGGCAACCATGGTTTAAGCTTAGTCAATCCAACCAAGCCAATCACATGGGTTAAGGTTGCACAACACAGCAAACTCTGGCTGACCAGTTTGTGATTTAGTGTGTCCTACAGATGTACCTGAGGAGTCTCATTATTAGATCAGTACTGTCACCTCTGGTGAGCAGTGGTTCTTCAGGTACTCAGAGTTTTTCTCGTCTAGTCTCCTACAATCCTCTGGTTAGAGATTCTAGAGACTGAATCTGGGATCTTATGAAGGTAAAGCATATATCCCTCCCATTGAACTACAAGTTCTCTCTAGTAAGATATGTGGACTGGTTTACACATTGCACTAAGCCATAATATAATTTTTCAGCCTGGCTTAGTGTGTTATGCAAATACAGCTAACTGTGGTATACTGAATAAGCCATGGCTTATTTCACCATAGCTTAATGTGATAATGTGAACCAGGTCTACACAACACTGCATGAATGAATTCCATGTATACATACTGGGTTTTGACCAAGGAAGCTTCCTGAGCTGGTTGAACATGAACTTTTGCTTCTCCTGCTGTTTCTGAGCAAACAAGACTATATTGTCATAAAAATGTCTTCTATAGCTTTGAGTTAATGTAGTGCAATTCCACACAGCCTATTTCAGTAGCCTTAAAAGGACAGGGTGATTAGATTTCATATGCTATCTCACAAAGGCCAGTTCCTCATCCCAATCCAAGGAGAACATTTCAGGACTTAACTCTTGTTTTGCAAGAATCTTTCCCTGCAATTCTATAGTAAGAATTAGGCAGAAGAGTGAAAGACAGTTAAGACAGTCGTTTCTTAACTAAACCATCCATACCCAAAGGCCTTAGTCTTAGTCATTACTTCCATCACTTCTGACAATGGGTGAACCATGGGCTTCATATGAAAGCACCATCATACTAAGCACCCTTAGAAGCTGCAATCTTGATTCTAGAATTAAAGTCTCAGACAATATATGCACAAATCTTTTCCTCTAATCAATTCTGAATTTATCCATCAACATTTTAGATGAGTAAATTAATGACTTATACAGGTTTATAGGTTTTAGGAAGAAGTCCTTACATGGGAGTAAGCACCATTAAGCACAATGGGAAAAAATATGTTTAGGCTCACTCTGTAAATCAGTTAAACTGATAAAGGTAGCAATCTTATGTATTTATCCGTAGCCAACCTTGTTGTACAAAATGTGATAGGTCAGCTCCAACTGTACTTGTTGCAAGACTGCAATCCTTTAAACACTTGTCTGAAAATAATAATCACTGAATTCAACAAATTTTGAATTCATAGGATTGGGCACTAATCAGTGTCAACTTTATCACTTTTTTTAAAGCCAGAACAGAACATTTCAATTAGATAAATTTTCTTCTTGAACAGTCAGCTGAAGGAATACATAATCAAGCAACTAAGGCACTTTAAAAAATTGATTTGGATCTGTTAGCATAATAGAGAATGATAAAAAATTTTATATGTAGGCTTTTCTCTTACATATAATTGTGAGTGGCAGCTTTGCTGAATAAATTATAAATTCATCTCATATTTCCTTCAGTAATTGAAAGTCTGAGTGAGATTTTGGTAAAAGGAAAACGTAATAAAATAAAACCAATTATTTGATTAAAAGAAATTATAATGAATTACAATATTTAACTAGTTAACAATCATATTATTAACACAGAATAATTGTTCATTCAGGGTAAATTAGTTTTACTATTACCCTGCCCAAATTTATCCTGAGGCTTGCTGTTATGATCCCAATGTTATGAACCCAATGCAATAAGTCTTTTTTTTTTTTTGGTATGGCTCAGCCAGGAAGCACATCTGTAACACAATGATGCCAAAATAACATGGTACATGATGGCATCTTCACATATGTGCGATTACATACTTGCATCATCACACATGTGTCATCTGCACATCCCAGTCTTGGACTTGAACAAAGTTTCTATCTCCCCCCCGCCCCGCCAAATCAATATGTTCAAATATAGTGGGAAGAGAAACCCAGCTTACTCTCCAGGTTTCACATGCTAGGAATGGAATATTTAGAACAAATAACTGAAACCATTAAGAAGTTCTGTAGTTTACTGGCTGTTTTGATGACTCTAGAAACCAGGAGCAGTATTTTATACAGTATTTTATATTTGGTTTAGCATGAAGAACAGGAGAGGCTCGCTGAATAAACTATGGTTTGTTCTAGTAACTACTGTTTGAAGCCATAGGTTGTTGATTTAATGAATGAATGGAATGGAATTTAACATGACCTATATACAGTCTTCTTGTTCTTGCCTGGCTTATTCATAATTTTTGTTGAATTTGTTGAAGCCCCTAACCAATCCACAGCTGCACCAGGCAAGAGAAAACAGAAAACAAACTGGATAAGGCCACAAAAACCATGGCTACTTTGTCTGCAAGCCTGAGCTGGTTGACACACAGCCCTAAGCTATAAATCAGAGTTTAGAAATTACAAAGGCCGCTGTATAGGCATACCCCATTCATCCAACAACTTGGATGCCACCGTAGCTTAGCACGACGTATCAACCCAGCAAGTGTCTTTGCTTGTTGCTAACTTCTTCAATAAACAATCAATTGGCAAGACATGTAAATGTAGAACTAGACCAATGTAACGATACATTGTGAAGCCAGACAGACAATAGTTGCTTTCAGACATCACAATAAGTTATTGTTCATAATTACAGAAACAAGATGCACAAGTCCTAGGCTTGCATGCATCCTTCTTCCATCACGTTCTAACAACTGTTTCCACTTCTGATAAACTGTAACTAATCATATTGTTGAAATACGACAAATTGTATTTAATATTGTTTGAAACAAGCCAGGCCCATGAGGTATGAAGCTGACTTCTTTTAAATAAAGTACAGTTAATGTTAATCATAGTTTAGGCTCTGAATGGCATCATAAACAGTGGTTAAGTTGTGCTGGGTTGGTAGGGAAATGTGCATGCCTAAGTCAAGTTACATAGGCTTGTACCCATCATGAGAAGTCAGCCTTCCCAAACATAGAGCCCTTCCAGCAATTCCCTGCCAGCAGAACAAAGGTAATTATGGGAACTGAGTTGAACACATCTGGAGGATTTAGGAAAAAATAACATAAAATATGATTTATCATGGCATTCAAATGCAACCACATGCATGATTACCTTTTTAGCTGGATTCATGGTGGGTGTGCTATGGGAACGATGGAGGTTGCAAGTATCTGAAGGGTCCCAGGCCATAAAAGGATGCTTGACCTAGAGCACTACAAAGCTTATCAACTATTGGTAATTTATACAGATAGTCTTTGCTTAACGATGGTAATTGGGACCAGCAATTCCACTGCTAAGCGATGTGGACGTAAAGCATGATATCATGTGACCGCACTAACTTACGATGGCAGTTCTGGTTGTGGTCATTAAGCAAATCCCACGTGGTAGTTAAGCACGATGTCATGTGATTACCATTTGTAACTTCCTGCCAGCTTCCCCATTGACTTTGCTTGTTGGAAGCAGGCAGTGAAGGTTGCAAATGGTGATCCTGTGACTGCAGGATGCTGTGACCGTCGTAAATGTATGCTGGTTGCCAAGCACCTGAATCATGATCATGTGACTGCGGAGGCGCTGCAATGGCCGCAACTGAGGACTAGCCAAGTCTCCTCATTCAGCGCTGTCATAACTTTGAATGGTCATTGAACGAGTGGTCACTGAATAAGGACCACCTGTACTTACAAATAATCTTTTATACATTCCTATATTCAATGTTTATTTTCATTGTCAAACAAGCATTTTTAAACTCTACTTTAAGAGCAAAGGCAACCTTACATTTCTGAGGTATTTCTAAGGTATTTTTATTTAAACATGTACAAACCTTTCCAGCCAGTTTTGAAAAGTCATCTCCTCCTATGATCTGAGTATCTTGCGTAGACTGATCATTCTGCAAAAATAGACATTATTTATGTAGTATTTTACTTACATTATCAGTATGAGGAAAAAAGACTTGGGATAGTAGAAACATCTTGTTGTTTCTTAGTTTGCATTGACAACTTTACCAATTATTTTCCTCTCCCTTTTATGGCTTTGAAAAATGTATATTTTTATGTTTTATCATACTTAGCTTTCAATAACTTTAATATATTGGCTGTAATCTAGAACCCATCAAAGTTTTTACTGATAGATCCAAGTGAACCATTTCTATGGAAAATATTTAAAATCAGGAGGAGAAATTTTTCATCCAATTTTCATTCCTCAGTAGATTTAAACCTATGCAAACAAAGGAAGAATTATAACTGAATTGAAGAATAACAGTATAGTCCTGTACATGTCCACTCTAAAGTAAGCCCCACAGAATTCAGGTAGCATAGTTCAGTCAATGAAGGATGGCACAAATGGGAATTCCCTCCCAATGAAATCAAGGGGTTGTAAAAGACTATGATTCTGTAAAACAAAAATCAAAGCTATTATTTACACACACACACACACACACATGAATTTTTCAGTGTAATAAAATGTACAGAACAAACAAGAACAAAGAGAATAAGAAACAGAAGTACAAGAGAAAAATTGAAAAAAAGAAAACATACAATTATGTCTTCTGCCCTTATTTCTATCAAGTAGTTGTTATCTTAAACTTTTCTCAACCTCTTTGTCCCCTTTTTAATCCCCAAATCTGCAATTCATTTTTTTTTTCTTTCAGAAAAATCAAAGCTAAATTTTATGGAAATCACTGACAAACCACATTCCAAAATAAAACCATTAATGCAAGTTGTATTCACTCAATGTGATAAAATCCAGTGGCAACTGTGGGTGGTGGTCAAAAACTGCAAGATGCTGGGCTTGTCATTGCAACTGAAGCCCTGCCTTTTTTATACATGCAACAATGTCCCATGGATGTACAAAACGGGCAGGGCTTTGATTGTGACAACGCACCCGCCATCTTGCAGATTTTGATGCCTTGCTCTTGGTGCCCAGAAAAATATAACCTGCTTAAATGGATCACATATTTGTACCACAGAAAAGTGATTTAGAGAACTTCCTTAAATCCCTCAAGCCTTGTTGATTTTCTCATTTCTCTTCAGACTCCATTGCCCTTTCCTTCCCCAGAAAGCTCTTAATGCTTAATGAAGAACAAAAGAGATGTTATTCCATGATGTTTTATGTGGTAAAATAATTGTGCAACTTTTTCCAAATTGCCGGACAGGTCATTCACATGCTTTCCCTTCAAGCAGAAGTTGAGTAAACAGTTTGTATCACTGATGTTACCTCTACTTCAGCCCACTATGTTCCTGTTTCTCATTAAGTGTTGCTTAGAGTTTTCTGGGCAACTTTCAAGACACTTAACAGTGTTTGGATTCTGGATGCATCATAACTCTCCATTACAAATCAAAGACACTACCATCAAGAAGCATCTCTTGATCCATACTGAAAACTTCAGAGAAGCAGCAGAGAACATAGAGATTAAATCTGACCTTAATGACAAGTAGAACTTGGGCAAAGGAACAGAGGAGAAAGAGAGATCAAAGGCTTTGGTTTTCTTTTTCTTTTAGCAACCTGGGCTTGTATAATCTCTGACTGGTCCAGACACAAGAACCGGCAACCTGGTGGCCTACTTGAACTGTAACCCCCAATCAAATCAACCACTGTGTCAAATGGCAAGACGTTGGGTGTGTTGCCATTAAAAAAATCTGAAAACCACCAGGTTTCCTGTGCCTGGCCGAAGTTGGAAATCCTGAAGACACTTTAGAAATGTCAGGTAACAACCCTCAACTTAGTGCCCTTCAGGTGTGTGAGACTAAGAGTTCCTAGCCTTCTGCAGCTGCTGGGTAATAATTCTGAAAGTTTTATTTATTTTTCAGATTTATATCCTGTCTTTTCTACAGGAGCCCAAGGGGGCTCCACGATGCATCTCAAAGCACCTTTTGGAGTTCAAATCCAAAAAGCTGCATATCCCCAACAACCACCACATCCTTCAACACGTCTCCTTGAAACTAGTAAAATATCCAACTATAAAGACCAGCTGGGATTATATAAAGAAGCCTTCTGAACTGATTGGTTTTAGTTCCAAATATGCAGCCATTAAATTATAGTTTAAGACTTTTAACTACTGCTAGGAAGATTGGCTATTCTGCTGTTTATCTACCTTTCTTTGGTTTTGGATCTCTCTCCAATTACTTGTGCTTTAGTTCTTAAATTTGGATGTTGTCTAGGCCCTTATCAGGCATTCTTATCTGAACATTATTGCATGGACCAGACAGCAATAAGTAGCCTCTGCCCACACTCCATCAATGATGTCGATATCAAAAGGCCACTGCATCAACAGGAACACTGACAGTGTAAAGGTTCTTGTTCCCATGAAAGAATTCCACATGTAGAATTGCACATGCAAGATTCTCCTTTCTTGGCTTAGCTTAGATTTACTTTTCCCTGTATGATCTTTTGAATAGAGAAAAATGCTGCATAATATTCCAAAATCCACAGCTGAACCATCAGGATCCTTCCAAAATGTCACTGGTGTTGCTCAACTGGTCCTCACAGACCAGTGTGGCTTTCCTCTTTTATCTGCAAATTAAGATTCTGTAACCACTTGGTCAGAGTTTCTATAGCAACATTTAAGTTGCCAATTCTTTCAGTATTAGATCATCTCTATTGAATTGGGTGGGGCAGCTATTATCTTTTTTTTCTTTCTTTTCTTTCCTGGAGACCAGAGCTTGAATCCATCAAGCTACATGTGGGTGATCTCAAGAAAAGAAAGGCGCCCTTGTAACCAGAATTCCTGATGACAACCTTGCAAAACGCAGCACACATCTGTTGGTTTGGGGTAGCGGAGGAGAAAATTCTCTCTTTTTAAAGTGTTCTGGCAGAACAAAAGCTACCTTATCATGACACAAACCAACAGCAATAAATTTCTATCCCTTTACCTCATTAAACTGCGATGGGCTTTTTACTGAAAGAGTAAGGACATTTACTGAATGTCCTTTGGCTATTAGCTCAGGGCTTGGCACCTGTTTCTTTTTCTTTCTTTCTTTCTTTCTTTCTTTCTTTCTTTCTTTCTTTCTTTCTTTCTTTCTTTCTTTCTTTCTTTCTTTCTTTCTT